CCGGTCAAGCATGTGGGGAGAGAAGGAGGAGCCAAGTGGGGAGCGTGTGTCAGGAAAGAGCCGCCTCACGGCGCGTGGGGAGCATGCGCTTGTGGGGCGCAGTAGCCGTCCCCCAAACGACTAGCAAATCTCAGTCGACTCAGATGTAGGAAGTGTGGGCAACTACATGTGCCATATTGCCATTGCCTATGTTTTTCTCTCCTGACAAGATGTTCACGTTGTACTCATCTGCCCACCATTTTGAGTGTTTTATTATGAGTTAAATGTACCGTAGGTCCATTAACTTTTGGTAGTGTGTCATCTAGGTCCATCAACTATTAAACTGCATTTTTGGGTCCATTAATTTTTGGTGGTGTGTTATTTAGGTCCATTAACTTTGAAACTGCATTTTTGGGTCTATTAACTTTTAGTGGTGTGACATCCAGGTACATCAACTTTCAAATTGTATTTTTGGGTCTCTAAACTTTTTAACTGGTTCAACGTAGGTCTATACCCCTTCGTTTAGCGAATAGATCTGACATGCCACACCAAATAAACAGCCACCGTAGAGTAGGTGATGAGTCCATAGCTCCTCAAGATGTTCATGGAGATTTGTGTAGCAATAATTCAAATGTAGCAGCCGGTAATTCATTAATATCCTCTGGCCTTAAATTTAGGATTATTATTTTTAAGGATAAATATATTGTGGACAAGGAGAAATTTACAACTACTGGACTGTCATCAAAGTTATTTTTATTGAGGTGCCTTATTATTGCGTGGAAAGGAGGAGAAAATGAAGCCAACAAAATACATCAGTACTAATTCTAAAGAGATGGAGAACATCAATTGAATTTTCCCAACGTGATTAGCATCCTTGTCGTAGTATTTAATTATTTTCATGTATTAGTTTCCTATCCAGTTGTGATACACGATCTTTTATCTAGCATTTAGCTTTGACCTGCGTACACCTATGTACGTGAATCAAATTGGTGGCTGTGTTTGGACGTGCCTTGTATGTTAGCCAAATCAGGGACTCAGGGTCAATCAGTCCTAGTTGGGCTGGTGGAGTCCGAGTTTTGTTTGGGTCAGGTGGCCTGCATGTCAATACCTGTGGCCTTCGGCCTTGTACGGGTAGATGAGACTGAATTTTATTGTGGAGTTTATTCCTCGTGACCTGTGTGCCTATACCTTTGGCCGTCGCTCGAGAAATCCTAGATGGTGATTCCATCAGGTTCTTCGTATTGAAGATTATCTTCGGACAGTGATCTCGTCCTGTACATCATGGTGGCTGTTTTTTGGCGTGGCATGCTAGATCTATTTGCTAAATGAAGGGATATGGACCTACGGTGAACCAGTTAAAAAGTTTAGGGACCCAAAAATGCAATTTAAAAGTTGATGGACCTGCATGACACACCATCAAAAATTAATAGACCCAAAAATATAGTTTGAAAGTTGATGAACCTGGATGACACACCACCAAAAGTCAATGTACCCAAAAATACAGTTTAAAAGTTGATGGACCTACATGACACACCACCTAAAGTTAATGGACCTACGGTGCATTTAACTCTTTTGTTATAAAGCGAAGCACCAACGGTACGAAGATAAAGTCGTATTTTTAAAAGAAATCTAGGAATTATGAGATGGTGTCAATTTACCAATTTAGCGATGTCATGGATTGGGTGAGCAACTCTAGCAGCTTGGCTATTCTTGTTGTGGAGGCTATTTTAGAAGTTGTATATCAAAAAGTAAGTTTCAACAGATGTGCTATCTGACTTTGTAAAATAGAAAGTTGGCTATCCTTTGATTTTCGGTGGCCATATATAGCCAACCATGAGCGCTTGCTACCTGATTTTGTAAAATAGCAAGGCTGTTGTGCACGTCTTCTTTTTTAAGAAGTTTTTTTATTTTACAAAATGGCTAAACAATAAAGTTTGGCTACTAGTTTTAGCTCAGCTGTTGAAGTTGCTCAGCCATCGACACCACTTCCCAGCTGAGCTGCCTAGTTTTGGTGGCCTAGAGCGAAGCCTAAAAAGATGGCCCTTTAATATAACTATAATAATAATGATGTTTCTAATAAACACTTTAATACATCCAAAAACATTCTTATCTGACAAATTATAAATATTGTCTAAAATTTTTCTTCTAATATTTGCAGATGTGAAGTTATTGATGCTGGCATCAATATCAATCTCATCTAATACTTTCTTCTCAATACATAAAGTCGTCATCCCATTTAATCTTTCTGAAGACATTACGGACCTCGAATACTTCATCAATAATTCCAAACAATTATTAGTAAGTAATTTACCAAAAATATGTTATGCTAGAGTAAATATTAAAATCACAAATAGATTTAGGTCACACTACACGATAGCTGCACGCCAGCTCTGTACGGGATTCCCAAATCCCGTATCAGAATAGTCTCGAAGTCTTGTGCTCTAAAGAATAAATATTGAGGACAAACAAAAATCAAAACATATACGTCAATGCTTGACGTAGATGCAACTGATGTCTCTGATCGTCTCTCGGATTTGCGTGGCTCGGAAATACCGAAACAAAGTACGCGAGTCGCCGGCTGCCTAGCTGTTGCCGCATAGCTGTTCACGTCGAGTACTTGGAGTCGGCGATTTTTTTTTTAACATTTTTTATAAACTAATTTTAAATACTTTTGGCCGCGTCTATTGTTATGGCGCGACGAAACGCAAGGGTCGCGCCATGCATGGTGGCACGGCGGGAGTACGACGTGGCGAAGACCGGGTTCGCTGCCCAGTGACGTGACAGGGTCTGCCGCGCCACCGATCTTGGCGCGGCAGTGACTTAAAATTAGGCATGGCCAAAAATGTTAGTTTAAAAAAACAGTGTTAAATTTAAAATTAGTTTAAAAAAGTGTTAAAAAAAACGAGTCGGCGACGGCGTGACGCACATCGACAAAGCAGCGCTGGAGCGGTGGAAGGCAAATCGACTGCATGTATGCATATTTCTTACTGGGCCACATATCTGGAATTGAGCCCCTTGCTTTTAAGGGCCCAGTGCGGCAGCAGGGCCGGACTTGGGTCGCGGTGGAGCCGTGGAGGGCAGTCACGGCGCGGTTGTGATGGAGGGCGGTCGCAGCGCTGCAGACATGGCGGGTTGGACAAGCAGATACGATTGGGGGCGTGTGGACGAGCGGATACGAGTGTTGGGTTTTTGGGCGTCGTGGCCCACCAACGGGACCGTCCTCAGGCCTGAAAAGCCGCCGTCTAGACAGATGGACGAGCGCCCTAGAGGAAGCATTTCCGTTTTGCAAGTGTTTTATACTTTTATTGATCAAGATACAGTCTAGGAATTCTAAGATGGTGGCAATTTAGCAGTCACTCTAATATAAGTGTCATGGGCTGGGTTGTTACAGTTACAGGCATCCACACCGCTTCACAGCTGAGCTAGTTAGTACACGTTACAGGCTTATACAGCCAGCCCGTTGTTTGTAGACGATGACTAGAGACGAGATGACCCGACTCAAACTCTGCGGCCCATCACTCAGGCTTCAGGCCCAGTCAAAAAACTAAATTTACATGAAGCCCAAACTCTAGTAACATCATACACGACATTGTCCGCACTCCACCGAGATTTGCTCTCGCTCCCTCCGCAGCCAGCCTCTGGCCTCCACGGACACTCGGATATTTAACTTTTCGCCACTCTTACGGTTGGCCAGAGCTCAATTGCCAGCTTTCTACGCGGTTCTAATTTTTTATCCCTAAACTGATCAAAACTTCTAGTTTATAGACATTTTGGCTGCGTGGCACACCCAGTCACCTTGCCAGCGTGGTAGGTGCACGCAAAAAGACCTCGCTGCCCCTTGCCTTATCCCTTAACCGTGTGGGCTCGCTCCCCGTTCCCGAGCTGCCCCCATTCTTCTTCTTCTCCAACGGCTCCTTTCTCTTCTTCTCCACCAGCGGATCTGAATGCCACACTCTCTAGTGCACTCCCGCTCCTTCTTCTTGCTAACCTCGCCATCCGCTGTGCCATGTCTTCCCCTCGCTGGCGGGGAGAGTTGTTGAGGCAAGGGACTAGGGCTTCTCGGCCGACGGCTAGACCGGCCGTTTGCCCTAGGCACCGCATCTTGGTTGGAGATGAGACCGGGCTCCCGCTGATCCAGTGCCCTGAGTGTAGCCAGGCTAAGGTCATCGAGCTACGGGCATGGACAGAGGAGAACTATGGTAGGGTTTTCTTCAAGTGCCCGACAAACGTGCAAGGGGTGAGATCTGTTTGCGCCTGATCTCGTTTCTTATCCATTTTCCCTTTTTTTGCTGATTGGGATCTACATTGGTGAGTTTGAAGGTCATTTTCATTGATATGTTTTTAGGATCCAACTACCTGTCCCTTCTTTGAATGGCAAAAGAAATACCTGAAGAAGCTGGTTGAGCTAGGTAAGGTGACATTGCACGATGTGGCTGCTGATGATGAAGGAGAAGGAGAGGTTGAAGCAGAGTCTATTCCATCCAGTGCTATGCAAATGCAATCACAGATGGAGAACTTGATCTCAATTGTAAAGCTGTTGGTGTTGGTTCTTGGTGGACTACTAGTTGTAGGGATTATGTACCTTATCAAGTAGTGTTTGGGTGATATGTAATTTGGCAAATGCCGATGAACCTGATGTACCTATGAACCTCATCCTCGTGTATAGTTCATGTTATGTCTAATGCATTTGATTTAGCTGCATGTTGTGGTTTACAAACTGAACATGACAGTGCTTGAAAAATTGTCCACAAACATGCAGTTTGCAATAAAAGGTGTAAGGCAACACATCCATTACATGTTCCAGCAATATAGGCACTAAAGTTTGCAGTCTTCTAGCTAACAAAGTTTGGCAGTTGCTAATGAGAGTTGCAGGGCAACAGAGCCATTATCATCAGCCATTACATGTTTTTTGCCAGTACTGGCAGCACAAAATAGATTACACAACCATTGTTTGCAGGTTTTCAAGGCTACATAGCCATTACAAAATAGCCCAAATTCAGACTTTTTGCTTATCAAACAGATTAGGTCTTGGTTGGACTGGCCTTTTTCACCTTCGAAGCCAACTGTTTCTTCCTGGGCGTCATCTTCTTAGCAGGTGCAGGGTGATCTTCACATACAACCATCTCTAGCGGTACAGGCTCATCTAAGGGTAACCTCCTAGATCGTGGGATGCATTGTTAGGTAATTGAACCTATAATATGGTCCAGAAACATGGAAACTGGATGAAACATACCTCTTAGCAGGTGGAATTGGAGTTGGTTGTGCTTGAGATTTAGCTTCAGCTGCTGCTGTTGCCATAGCTGCCTAGGCAGCCACGGCTGCTGCTTCCCTAGCAGCTGCTGCCCTTGTTATTGGAGTATTTGGAGCTGGCTTGTAGGGAGAAGGTTACTTGGATGAAGAACCTTCTTTGGGTGCATCAGTCTTCGCCTTCTTCCTCCCCACTATTGATTTAGTCTTTTTGGTCCTTTTCCTATATTTTCAATTAGTTAGTACAGATTATTAGTACAACAATGATGTAAATTTGGTTAGAGTGATACCTTTTCTTAGTGCCAATTAGGGGATAGTTGGAGCTTCCTTTCATGTGCCCAAGTTCACCACAGCCATCACACTTTGATTGTCTTGTGGCTTTCCCTGTCCTCTCCATGCAAGATAAAATCCTTTTCTTCCTCAACCTTCTAGCAGTTTTCTTTTTCGGCTTGGCAACTGGTGGCTGTAACTTGAAACCTTTGTCCGCTTGAGGCCACTGATTCCTGTCAGTGATGTTTGGTATTACTCCTGCATATGCAGCTTTAAATTTCTCAACTGAGAAGGCCATGTCTATATATTGTTCCATGTTTGGGTTCCTCTATGTGGTGATGACTGCCAATGCATGCTGGCAAGGCTTCCCACTGACCTCCCATTCTCTGCATGTGCATATTTTCTGATCTAGGTACACAACATGTCTTCTCACTTCTTCATCTTTGTACACTACTGACACCTCTGCTTGGTTTCTATCCCCTTTTGTGACCTTCAAGTGCCCCAATCCTTTTGATGCAGCATTCATCTGATGAACCACATCAGACAGTATAGTTCCCTTCAGAGCTCTAGATATAGTCCACTTTGCAAGTAACTTCAATGTCTGCTCCCTAATAGCATTAGCTAAGGCATATACAGGAAGATATTTGTTCTCCTTGATCCATGAATTCCAGGATTCAGCCAAGTTGTTGTTAATGTAGTCACATTTGATGTCATGTGAGAACTTGGATCTGGCCCACAGCAAGTTGTGATGCTCATTTAGCCATGGTAACACTGCAGCAGAAGCAGCCATGACCTTGCTCATGAAATACTCATGGTTGTCAGAGAGATAGGCCCTGGCAGCAGGCCACATGTACTTGGAATAAATTGCACCTCTAAAATTCTTCTTCATGTTGTCCATTAGATGCTTGAAGCACTCCCTATGTTCAGCTTGAGGGAAAATAGTCTTCACAGCAGCCTCTAATCCTTTATGAGCATCTATACTGACTGATAATTTGTCCATTGGGTCTAATGCATCTCTCAATTTTTCCATGAACCATGTCTAATTTTCCTTGGTTTCTCCATCAAATAGACCAAATGCTATATGGAACATCCAGTTATATCCATCAATAGCATTGGCAGCAGGCATGTCCCATTCCACTGCCATTGAGTGCAGTGGAGTCTATGCTAATGTAAGGCCTACAACCTTGTAAAAACCCATCAATGCTAGCCTTGAATGCACAGAAAAAAATGCTAAAATGAATTTGTCAATTTACTTTCACTGTACCTATCTCAATAACACTTCTAGGGGATTTAAGCTCTACCTCAGCTTTGACCCTATACAACCAATCATAAGAATCATCCTACTTACCAAATAAAATGTTAGAAGCTCTTTGCCTTCCATACCACATAGTGTGGTAGGGTATCTGGATTTTGTACTTCTCTTCTAGCTCATCTTTCACTTCCTTTGCACCCATCCGTGGTTTCCTCTTCAAGAGTGGAATAGCCCTTTCTACAACCCATGCTTGAGATGCCATCCTACCTTCAACTCTGTTTATTGATGGACAATTATGCTCCCTATCATTTATCTGTACCTGCACATGCAAACATATTGACTATAAGTCCACCAATATTAATAAAGGGATGGTGATGCTCAAGTGCAAGTAATAAATTACAAGATACAAACAAAAAAATATGTACCCTGACACTGCCATCAAATTGTGTATTAGCTCTAATCCTCCAAGGACATCCCTTGGCATTGCAGCAACCCCTGAACCTTTTCTTGTCTTATTTCTCAGTGTGCAACTCAAACTCCCCAACAATTGCATGCTGCCTAACTGCAAGTCTAAACTCAGACATTGAGGGATAAATGGCTCCAACATCCATATCTGGATTGTCCATATCCCAGTCAATAAGTGGCTCTGAACTAGCTTTGTCATCAACAGGGATAGCTGTTTCCTCCATTTCTTACTGGATCTCTAGTGGGATAGATGGGATATGAACTTCTTCAGCAGCAGCAGCAGCTGCTTCCTCTTCTACAACTTTGAACCCATATGCCTCAAATATTGCATCTTCATCAGCCAACATAGTTGCCTCACCATCTTGATCATCACTAGGTATTATGGTTAGACTGCTCCAATCAACAGCAGGTTCCGGTGCACTGAAAGTTTTAGCTTCTGGAGACATAGCTGTATCATCAGCTGCTTCTGACTGTGCTACAGATTGGGTAGTAACCCCATATGTTGCACGACCACTAGCATTATGCCCTGCTGGTGCTGACTGACAATTTTCCCTGACCTCACATGCAAGATACAATAGCTTAACATCCATCCTAGCCCCCACCATCTCAACAAACTGCTTGTCAGTTGTTATCTTCCACTCAGTCCCATTTTCTATATCAACTCCCCACACAATCAGCTGCTGACTAGGCCCCCAGATAATGTTGCTAGCCATTTCCTCGACAAAGTTACATAGATTGAACACAGACCTACTGCCAAATCAGCCATCATGCCTTGAATCTTCCATTTCTAGCGGCTCATACTCTAGATTGGCAGTGAACTTAGCACATTCAACAACAATTCTAAACGCATTGCTAGGATCAATCCTGGCACATGTCGATAATGAAAACAGTTTGGAATTAGAATTGATCCAACTCCACAGCCATCACAGCGAATATAATCTATACAATTCCTACTTACCAAGGAGGGCAATCTGACGACTTCATTCTGCAAGACGAACAAATCCACTACCTACGAAGCGCAGTAATGCACAAACCATGAACTTTAATGACCGCAAATAAAATCAAAACCCTAACCACATCGAACCCTAGGTGGTAACCGGAACCACAGAGGAGATGAGAGGGGGAAGAGAGGAGAGGAAGGTACACCTACATCCATGAGCACCGCCGGCCTTGCTTTCGCCAAACGCCACAAATCCTCCCGCCGCGCCGTCGGATCTCCTCGCGCCGCTCCTCAGCGCGAGGGAGAAGAAGAAGAATGGCGGTGGCTAGGGATATGGGGAGTGAGCCCACATGGTTAAGGGATAAGGCAAGGGGCAGCGAGGTCCTTTTGCGTGCACCTGCCATGCTAGCAAGCTGACTGGGCGTGCCACGCAGCCAAAATGTCTACAAACTGGAAGTTTTGGTCAGTTTGGGGGCAAAAAATTAGGATAGCGTAGAAAGCTGGCAATTGAGCACGTGCCAACCATAAGAGTGGCAAAAACTTAAATATCCCGACACCGAGCTGACGAGCTCAAGTGCGGGCGGCTCCTAGGGTTTGGAACCCCCCCAAATCCCCTCGTTCAAATCGAATTCGATCTTTAGCCTCGGCGTCGGCCATCTCTAGTGTCTGGTCAGCCCACTTTTCCTCCCCAATGCTGCAGTTTTTTTCTCTCGCATCACCTCACACCTACATCTTGATCCGTCCTCGCTTTTCACAGATTGCTCTCGGAGGGAGGCATGGAGGGCTGCTCCAAAACGAGTGCCGACGCGGTGCCCGTCCTTTCCGACGACCCCCTAGTGGAGATCCTCTCCCGCGTCCCTGCCAAGTCTGTCTGCCGCTTTAAGTGCGTCTCCAAGGCCTGGCGCGACCTCATTGTCGACCCTGACAACCGTAAGAAGCTACCCCAAGCCATGCAAGGAGTGTTCGTCCAGACGTCCGAGGTCTCTGAGGTTGACAATATTAAATTGGCCGTACAAGTATCAGTTTTATCGACCTGACAGTGATATCCGTGCCTCTGGACATCTACCCTTCCTTCTCCTTCCTGGCGGAAATGACTGGGGTCGAGGCCTTCATCTTGGATTCCTACAACGGGCTTATCCTTTTCGGGCACCGTCAGGAGCCATTTGATCCCCTTTACTATACCGTGTGCAACCCGACCACAAAGCAGTGGTCAGCTGTGGCCGCTTATGGTTCTGGTGAACCGGTAAGCCACGCCTATTTGGATTTCGCTCTGGCCATCTCCTCTCACTTTCACTTGGTCCAGTTCCAGATCCGCGATCTATATGAGGAGTTTGTGTCGTTGCATGCTTACTCATCTGAAACTAGGACCTGGAGTCAAAACCAAATTGATGAACAAAAAGAGCAAGGACAGTTGAAAGGCTGGCATCATCAGTTGAAAGGCAAGAAGGCTGATCACCGCACCAGGTATTGCTAATGGGAGGCACAGGCACACCTATGTTTGGTATTTAGGTCAATCCCAAGGGCACCTACATTGCGTGACTCTAGAGTCTGCTGATAAAGATAACGACAAACTATCCACCTAGGTTCTTCAGGATTATGATACACAGGAATGGGTGTTGAAGAACACTGTGGACTTTAACTCTTTGGATGTCTTTGGAGAAATAAGAGACTTGTCAGAGTTTAAAGCGGTTGACATTCATCAAGACTGTAATGTTGTTTTCTTTCTTCAGGAGTCCTGTAAGCTGACAGCATACGGCATGGACCATAAGGAAGTGAGTGTCATTGCGACTTTCGAAGATCACAAAGACCCGTGTGATTTTGCTTGTTACGTTCCCTATTTCTCAGAATCCCCAGATCTCACAAATAAGTACTGAAAGTGTGTGCTCTATGTATGAGCTAGCAGCTTGGTTAAATTCCAGTAGACTCAGGTGAAATGTTCTGCTTGTGCTTGTTGGATGTATGCCTTCTTAATTAGTAGTGCAAGCCTGTTGAGACATTGGATGTATGCCTTCTCATGCTTTTGTCTAATTAGTACTGCAAACCTGTGGGGGTATTTATGTAGTGTACCTTTATGGATGCTAGTTATATTAATGAATGCTGTTGCGCAACTCGGAACAATTTTGATTTTTGGTGACAAGTTTTATGATTAGCATGTATTTTTTTGTGGCTGTGTTAATGAGCAATTATTTACTGTGAATTTAGTTTGTTTGGTTGTGTGTTTATTTATGTCAGTCAAATCAAAATTATCTTCCATATTTTGCTAAAGTTGCATGTACGGAATGTTAGATAATCAGCTGCTCTCTTGTGTGAAAGCACGGTAGGGGAAGGCGGCGCCGAAAAAGCTTCCTGCCGTGGTACTGTAGCCACAGTAGGGACAGGCGCCGAACGGCTCTCCTGCCGTGCTGTAGCCACACAGGTCACCTTGAGCTTGATGGATGGACATTCCAGCACCACCAGGTTTACGAATTGTCCTCCATGTCTTTCCCTCCATATTCACAGCAACTATCGCAGAGTACTCAACCATGTGCATAAAACCATTAAGAAAAACACTTCTCAATTTTGAACGTAGAACAATACTACCCTCGCCCCATTCAGATTCCTTAAAGATCTATGCTACAATTTTAGATGAGTAGATCTCCACACCTACGCACGCACCATCCACCTCAACAAATTCAATCACATGAAAGTGCGAGGACGTTGGTTCAAAACCTAAGTGAACCAGACTAACAGAACGAATGATACACGGTGGTACTGGTTAAGTGGCGATTGCCCTTCCACCAATTGCCATAGAAGAAGCCCATGACTGTCTGTGAAAGCTTCTTACGTTGATAGGAGTCAGAGATGACGTGCCTCTAGGAGCGACAGACACACTTGCAGCAGCACAAGGACCGGGCGGGGAGGTAGCTGAAGATGTCGGCAAGCACATCGTCTGAGAGGTTGTCCACTGTGTTCCTCATGTTGTGAGCATACTTCATCTGGAAGGACACCACCAGCCGAAGAGATGAGGCCGCCCTGCCGTGGAATTGCATGGAGATGAGTTTCAAGGAAAAGGGACAGCGATGCAAGTAAGGCCTTATTACACTTGCCTTTGGATCTCGCGGTGGTGAGCATGAGTGGCAACGCCGGTGACAGCAGCGGTTCGTGTGTCAGTGGATCTGTGCGGGCAAGCCAGCGATGTGCACCGGCGTGGAGCAAGAGCTAAGCAGTGGTGATGAGCAGGAGCGGCGATGACGAACAACAGCAATGCGGACAAGAAAAGCTATGTGTGTGGGGGGAGGGAGGGGGGCAGTGGTGGGGGAGGGGAACGGTTAGGGGGGATGTTGGGGCAGGGGTTGCTTGCTCTTTGCGTAACTTTTATGCCACGTGGGAATTGAACTTTCATCAGTTCCGCGCTGGAGGGTTCAAACGTGGGATTGGAAATTTTGCAACTAAGCGGCGGTGAATGCACAGTACATCACCGGCGGCTAGGTCCTATTACCACCCAGAGACCGCCGTATGATATGGTGATGAACACTAAGGCACACAATCTTAACGCTTGGCATTGAAACAAAGCAAAACTGCGCACTTAGAAAACTAAGAAAAGCACAATTCCAGTACTCAGATTGAAAGGAAGCCAACTTTAGTTCGATGGTGAATAATAGGGCACACAAATTTACATTGAAAGAAAGCCAAACTGCACACTTAGAAAACAAAAGGAAGGCACAATGCCAGTACTCTCGGATTGAAAGGAATCCAACTTTAGTTCCATACATTCATACCGAATAAGTAGGTGGACACTGCCAAGCTAACAAGCATGCCGAAAGCTAAAATGCTGATACTAATTAGGCTGACACTATGCAAAAGTTAAAAGGCCTTTATATGTACATCAATGGTTGCATAATTAATCATTCTCCATGCAGATCCTAGTCGACCTCCATGGGATCGTTGTGAATCTCCATAATATCCTGTAGATCATTGTCGACCTCCACGGGATCATTGTCAATCTCCATATCATCCCGAGCCTTGACCACTACAACCATGTCCATATCCATTGGTACACTTTCATTTAGCTCATCGACTTTGTTCACAAAGCACTAATTCGGTGAACCAATACTGAGGACAATAAAGCTCACAAGCTACACTCCACAGATATACAAGGCCACAAACTCCAGAATGAGAAGATGCATTTTCATCTACAGATCCAACAAAATTACTGTATCTAGGTTCAAGGTGAAGGAGCAGAGAGCATGAGAGAGCAATACAAAGGAATATAGAATCCGGTGAAGGAGCAGATCTAGTGCAGTTACCTTAGATCCGGATGGAGCAGAGAAGCAGGGACGGCGCGCTGAAGATTTGTGCGCCGACGAGGTTGAAGGTGAAGGAGTAGTGAGCACGCGAGAGGCTGCCTTTTGTCCGACGCTAGCAGGGTGAAGCAGAGTAAGGGAGCGGAGTGGGGAATGGATGGGAGGGTGTGGTAGGACCGTAGGAGTGTATATACATAGTTCAATAAATTGGTTGCCCCTGTACTAGGGCCCAGTGTCCAGGGAAGTGGGATGCCTCCAACACATCAATTGATACTTGGATATACTATCATTTACAGTTCAATAAATTCAACACCTGGTTAATCACCTTGCATTTAGTTCAACAATAGTTGTACAATAGTGATAGATTTTAATCCGACACATCAATTGATACTTAGATGTACTAACATTTACATTTCAATAAATTGAACACCTGGATAATGACCTTGCATTTAGTTTAACATTAGTTGTACAAAAGTCACAGATTTTAGTCTGATACATCATAAATCAATACTTGAATCTACTGTGGTGAACTAAGCAACTTGCCAATGAACATGCCAAGAACTAAGGTAAGTACAAAATAGGTGAAAGAAGAACAGGAAGCACATTTCTTTCTCAAAGGAATGAAATCTTCCATCATCTTCATTGGAACCCTGGCCATTTCTTCAATCTATGGCATAATCTCTTCCTCCTCCTGTAGATGTTCTTCATTTGTTGTAACATTGGCCTCCGCCTTCAGCTCCCAAATCTTGTTACGTAAATCCAAAATCAAAGTCCTTAGAAATTTTCTATATTGAGGATCGTGCCACTTAAAGAACCCACAATCTAAGTCGGGCTATGAAAAAACCAAATTACCATAAGTACAACGGGATTTCAGCATTTGCATTGCGAAAACAAAATGAACAAGAAAGAAATCGAGTTACATTATTTGCCCTGCAGCATTTGTGGTACCGATGTCCTGGGTATCCATCACTCCATGAAATCCACCGAGGCGTCTTCAAGCCGCAGCAACACAAAAATGGTGGCTGGTATGTGTAGGGGTGGTTCTCGACATGGCATGGCATGGGTGGCCCCCTCCCGTTGTAGCCTCCTCCGCTGGAAGCCGGTGTTCTTCTCACGACGGCGCCCTAGGATGGTGCCAACCATAGGGAGGAGTTGGAGCTAGATGTAGCCATGGAGCAGTCAGGGTTCAAAGTGTAGCACACTCGGAGTAAAGAGGTCGGCCTAGGTCTTTTGTCTATGCTTTTGCCTCCCGCCAAGGCGCCAAAACATCACCCTCGCACTCCCACCAAGATGAAATGCTGTGTCACCGCCGGTTCAGGGTACTATCCACCTGTAGAAGAAGGCATGTTTTGGATCCTCTGTGCTTACATAGAGGTGTACACGTGGACCACAATAAAGACCAACTGATTCAATTAACAGTTCAACCAAAGTAATAGTTCAATGATTATGCAGTACTCATACATACTAATACAGAGGTTTCATCAGTACATATAAACTTCATTAACATAAAAGTTTCACAAATTCTAAGACTTAATGTCTGATGGGTAGGCAGTTGCTAAGGTACTCAATTGGTCGATGCGGTCCTAAAAGCCAGAGGTAGTGAACCGTAGCGAAGATGACAGCATCTCCATCCATGGACACATTGTATCTATAAAGTATGTATACTTCCTGTCTAGTCCTGCAAAGCACAAAAATCTCTCCACAAACAGGGTCTTGAACGATTCTTGTCAAATTGGGTAGTCTGAGAAGGTGACGAACAGCGGCTTCAACAATCAACAGTTGGTCTGGGTAAATGCTTCGTCCCCAAGTAGCAAACAACATCATCTGGGGTCCTGGTGCCACCCCTAGCCGCCAAAACGCAAGGTTCCTCGCATTGAAATGGCTTCTTCTGAAGTAAGACATCTATAGCAATGAACAAATTCTTAATATGAACAAAACTGATACCAACCCAAAACTAATTGGAACCAAATGCAAACAGGGGTGGTGACCAAATCCATCTAACCTTCACGGGGTGTTGTCCACGACGACAATGCAAAGGTGCTCGAGGCAGGGCAAGTACAGGCGACGGGTCAAAATAAAGATGAAGCAACGGGTGGAGAGAATGAAGATGAAGCAACGGGTGGGGAGAATGAAGACGAAGCAATAACGGGTGGGGAGAACTAATGGTTTTGTATTGGGGTTTTTTAGTTGGTCAAACAGCCGCCAAGGCACTTCTAGGTTTCTTGCCAAACGGACGGTCCAGATTGATCAGCAGCGAGAACGGACGACACGGGATAAGTTAAACAATGTCCGTATTAAGCCAACCATTGCCACGCTAATCCAACGCTATAATACGGCGATTGTCAGCGGTTAAACTGCTTTTAGATTCTCCTGGAAACAAACGCAACCGTACATGACAGTTTTTCCCTTTTCATTCACAAAAAAATATACAGTAAACAAAAAAAAACATTCATCGAGAGATCAAATCTATGCACTACCATTTTGGAAGTAGTGTTGGAAAGAACTTGCTTTGCATTTCATATAAAAAAGGTGGCATTCAAGAGATCAAATCTGTGCAAATAGAATTTTTTTTCATTGATTCATTATGTATA